AGAATGAACTAGAAGAAACTAGAATAAGCTGGAAGAAGGAGCTGAATTCTGGTGAACTGGTTTGATGCTGTGAACTGGAAAGAAGCTTGAACTGGAGAGGTTGGTGAACTGGAACGTGAGATGCTGGTTTGTTAACTGGTTTGCTGGTATGGCTGCTGATCTGCTGTGCTTAATTTCCATATATTCCAACAAATTTTGGTAACATATGTGTGTGCATATTATCTGCGTTGTATATAGTATGGTACTTTTTCATTATTTTGTTGACAAATTTTGGTATCGAGAAAAGAGAAGGAAAATGACATCAGTCTTATCATTTTGTAAGAATGTGATTTTATAATATAAAAGGTCGACAAATTACAAAAAGTAAATTGTAAAAATGGAGGAAAATAGATGATGTCTTAAGCAAGTATGGTTGTATCAGTTCATCAATGTAAATGCTTCATGTTGGGAGAAACGTAAAATTGTGTATTACGAAGAGGATGTCGAGGCACAATACGAAAAGGCATGTGAAGGACCCCTTCTATCAGTTATATGGATGTGTAAAATGTATTTTGTTAAAAAGTTTCTAGGATACTAATATGCTATTGTGGTTCGTTTTAACTTTGAATGAAATGTGTAATCGTTTTTGTTTAATTATCAAGTTGGAGCTATTTTGTGGATTGTATTATTTTAATTTTCAAGTTTGTTGACATTGGAGGACTATATTAATGTTATTTTAAATCAAAAAAATTGGATTATTTTAATCTTTGTGCGACAAGTTGTCCCGAACCGACCAACTCAAACTCAACCCGACCGACACATAATTGGGTTGGGTTTCAACATTTACATGGGTTGTGTTGGATTGGATTTCGAACAAACCGACAATTTTGAGTTAGGTTTGGGTTAGGGCAAAAACCGACCCAACCCAATCCAACCCACGTTCACCCCTACTTTTCAATATATTTATGATAATAGCTTAAATATCATACCTTTCACATTATTCTTAAAAAAAATTCATCGCTTTGTAAAATATGAAAATAATTTGTCTATGTATTGTGCAATTCAAAAAAAAAAAAAAAGATTTAGCCTTTATACAAGAATTTATTATATCATAAAATGCAAGATTAAGACTATCACAATCACTTAAGTGTAAAATGTCCTTGAATTTACTTCTTGACGTAGCGAAAGATTATAAGAAAGATGAACAATCTCACAAAGATGAGATAAAAATCACGAAAATT